CAGTATTTATATTTCTACACTTTTTTAATTCCTTTGAAACGATTTGTTTTTTCTTTTAATTTAAATATTCACTATTTGAATTAGAGTATATTTAACAATTAATATATTTTTGGATCTAATATATAATACAATAATTTCTTATGTTATCAAAGAATATATGTTATTTACATTTTTATCAAATATCAACATATTGGGAAAAAGCTGTCAGCTTTATTGATTAAAAATTACATCAAATGGAAACAGTAACTATTATTAATTTTAAATTTGAGTTTCAAACGTTTTTAAATGTGTAAATTCATAATGAACTATAAGATTTTAGTGTCTTCATGAATTACTATAGTAGCAAAACGTAGAAAATTACTAAGTCGAACTATGGTTTCTGTTAAGATTGTTTAATTAATTAATTTGATAAAATTATAACAACGATGATTTAAATATTTTTAATATTTTTACCTACATTGTTTTACCTTCATTTATTTTTTTAAATCAAATATGTTATATCATACCCGCCCTAAATTTTGTGCCATATGTTCATCACATGTGAATAAACCGAAACGGAAAAACGAAAACAAGTTAAAATTGAATTCTGTGTTTTTTCTTTCAGAAACACATTATTTAAATTAAATTTTTGAAATAGACGCAAATACTTGTACATACACATACACAATAGGGAGTAGTCAGCGATAAGGATTAAAAATGAATATTACATCACATTTTTATTAATATTTCTGCGTTTAATTTAATTGACTAAAAATAAATAAATTGTTCACTTTTGCGTATTACAAAATACCCTAAACTTTTCCATTTTTCTCAATGGCAAATTCTCTTAAATCACAACCTCTATAAAACTAGGTAGAAAAGAACACCCATATTCCATTTTTCGACAAATCTTATTTTTGCGATTTTTCTATTCCCGTACATCTGCTGCTGCATATTATTTTATATGGGTTCTATTGGCTTAAGAACAGGGCGGCTTATACGACGAAATAAAAGAAAAATGAATGACCCATATTTGAACTTCAAAACTCTTTTGCTTTATATATCACAGCGTTTCATATAAATGTGAGCAATATTTCAAATATTCCTTGGAGAATAAGAGTTGAAGCGCTCGTGGTTCTAGACGTTTTGAAATTTATTGAGGGCAAATAAAATCTGCTAAGGTGGATTTGATATTTTCAACTTTCCATACTAATAATATATCAAATTACTGTTCATATACCTCAATATAACAAACAATAATTTTAATGAAATACAACATCAAAGCTAAAACACCCTCCTTTGTCTGCAGAAATACACCATATCAAATATGTATTACATTTTTCACGCGTTTTCTTTGCCATTAAGGTGCAAATATCTGTTTTCCAACTGGGTCTTTTTTCTGCCCCTGATATTAAGATATATTCAATGTTAGGTACAGTTTATAAACTTTCGCATTACTGTACATAATCTAAAATGTAAGCAAATCCAACGCGGGGGAACCGAGCGTTAAATTATAAAAAATGTGCTCCGTTGCGGATGCAATGCGCACTTTGCAGTAAATTAGTTCCGTTTGCAAAACATGCAAATAGCGGCACAGCTGGTGTTGCATTTTAAAAATAGAATATTATTTTGCATATATATTATACTTAGGAGAAACAAGTAATTAAATTGTTTGACAGTAATTGTAAGAATAATGATCAATGTCGAAGTAAAGAATTATTTACTACAAAAAAACTAAAGAATTATTTACTACAAAATCATTTTCTTTATCACTTCCTTTCCAACCGATAATGAAAATTTGTTTTTGCAAGAAATTTCAATGACTTGGTAATATTGCAACATAGTTAGATTTATACCTCAAAAAGCTAAATTTGTTTTTGAACATGTTTGAGCTTTTTTGAGCATTAGGTTGAGCTTATAAATAAATGCAGCAAAATATTACAATTTTTGGTAATTATGATAACAGTAGATATAACCTATTTTTTCTAGTCTATTCAGATTTATTTTCTAATTATATTATTATTTACTTGTATTATTAAAGGGTTATGTAAATGAATGAATTCAGGATTTTCTGAACTAACTAGTGGTGTATGGCATCGCACCTCGGCAAATTGCTAGAACTTCCCGGACCATAACGAAATGCTCGAGGAATGTTAAATGTTTTGAAATAGATTATTATTGCAAAGTTAAAATTATTTGATTAATGTATATTAGAACTTTAGTCATAATTAAAATTAAAATCTGAATTATTTTCGATATACAAAAAAAAATGAAAAAAAAATAAAAAAGATTGGAACAAAAAAATTTTTACCCGTAAGCAATTATTTTGTGAAAACAAGTAGAAAGTTCTTTGAATCATTCAAATCGGACGCTTAGATCTCTCAAAAACTGCCATTTTTTGCACATTTAGCTCTGTATCTTCCAAATGGCTCGACCTGTCTCTGCCAAAAACTAATCACGTCTTTTCCCAATCATTACAAATTGATTTTTTTTTAAATTATTTAAATCGGATACTCTATTCTCTCAGAAACTTGATTTGTATCTTCTGCACTCTTTGCTTTGTATCTTCTGCACTCTTTGCTTTGTATCTCCGTAACGGCCAGACCTACCTTTTCTAAAAACTTATCAACATATCTCCCTACCAATAGGAATCGAACGTTTTTTGAACCATTCAAATCTGTTGATCCGTGCGCCCGAAAACGTGGACGAAAAATTGTATCCGTACATGCATACATACACACACACATATCCATTTTTTCTGAGGTATGCCAAAATGTTCAGAAACCTTCAAAAGGTGAATAAATTTAAAAAAAATCATTTGAGCTTTTTTTGCATTTACTATTTCTTACCCTACGGGAAGTTAAAAATGAGTCACCCAACATTGGTGACCGTTTTCATCATACCCGCTATGATGTCAAACTGTTTCATAAAACCGCAATTCCAATTGGACGAAACAACACATAAAGCACTTAATATTTAACTCTACGTTTAAAACGGTTTCGGTATATCTATTATTAAAACTTTCCGAAATTATTGTTGCGCTACCGATTGCCATTAAAATCTGATACATCGCATACATGTGACGTGTTATGAATGGATGTGCGAAACAGCCGTGGCGCAGTTTCACCGTTGGCATTTCAATACCTATTTAATATTCCAATGGAACCCCAACTCAGCACAATATGGCGCTAATTCAGCATTCATAAATTTCTGAATTGTTTATTGATATAATATTCCAGTCATTGGAAATGTTACGATGTGTATTCTCGATATACACATGCGGTTCGTCTATTAAGCACCAAAGATTTGTTTCGCGCTAGCAATCCTGGATTCACTCGTGGGAAGTTGAAACAGAATATTATATGGATTGTCATAGAGAAATACACTGTTTACTCGAATCGTAATCTGACTATCATGTAAGCATTTAGTACTTGGTTTGTTAATGTATAGCTAATTTACAACCAAAAAATGACCACTGTTTCACCAAAGCTTTACATTGTACTTAAAAGCTCATAATTTTCAAACTACATGGAATACAATTTTTGACTTCCCGTAGGGCAAGTTATAGTAATCGCAAAAATCGAAAATGAAAATTTTTATATATCTTTACGTTTCAAAGGTTTCTGAATATTTTGGCATACCTTAGAAAAAAAATGGATGTATGTGTGTGTGTATGTGTGTGTACGTGTGTGTACGTATGTGTGTACGTATGTGTGTGTGTGCGGATACAAATTTTCGTCGACGATTTCGGGAACACGGATCAACCGATTGGAATAATTCAAAAAACATTCGATTCGTATTAATAAGGAGACGTGCTGATTAGTTTTTGGCGAAGGCGGGTCTAGCATTTTCAAAGATACAGGGCTAAACGTGCCAAAAACGGTAATTCAGTCTTTAAGAGAACGGAGCGTCCGATTTTAATAATTCAAAAAACATTTTACTTATATTGACAAGATGAAGAATTGATCAAATTTTTATGAAGGCAGGTCTAGCGGTTTCGGAGATCTAATGAAAAAAGTAAAAAAAATGCCATGCCAGGCGGTCAAAAATGATCATTAGACATATGCACATCAAATTATCAGATATTTTATAGAGATTTAACAATAAGTATAAATTTTGTTTACATTCCTATGGGTTCCGTACCAATGTTCAATCGTTAGACGGCGACGCGGCGCTTACGCGCTTAGACTTTCTGTCTCTATGCAGTTAAAGCAGTACGATTGCCGGATTTCCGAAGTTTTTTTCAAAAATGTTAATTGTTTTTAAAAAAACAATAATTTTTGGTACGGGAAGTTCCAGCAATTTGCCTTAAGGCACGATGCCATGCGCCCCACTAGTTTTTAAGTTTTTTCATAATCAATAAATAATAATTAATGCACGAAGTTTCTTCGTGACTTCATCACTAGCGGGGGGAATGATGTGGTAAAAATGGCAAAATAATAAGTCGCGAAAAAAATAAATTGTATATGTGTGGTTTTTTAGTATGAAGTGTCAACAATTCAGTAATGTACAAATTACTAATTTATTACTAATATTTTTAACATCCGGATTATTTTTTTTACCCAATAAACCACACACATACATTTTTTTCCGCGGCTTACTTGCCATATTTGTTTTATTACCGTGCCTTCTTTTTGCTCCATATATGATATTATATGTATATGATTAAGGTTCATGTTTGCTCATAAGCATGGTTAACTAAATTGAATAAAATGGCGTTTTACATTTCGCCCTGCACGCCTTCTCATAAACATGGATATAACGCAAATATTAACCATATGTTCGTAAGAGAATAAGCAGGGAAACGAAATGAAACAAACGGGATTTAATTACGGAGAGGGTGTTGGTACGGCGCCCACGTCGAAATTAAATTTTAAGGGGTTTGCTTTTATAATTTTACGATAAGTGTGTTATAATTAGATTATAATACGATATTTGGAATGAGATATGCTATTGAAACCATTAAGCTTTGCTCTACCCTCTAACATTTACTATCAATATTTTCTTCCTATCTTTTTCAGGTGATGTGGACCGCACCCCCGGCTGGCTCGGGCTGTGTGGTATTTCGTGCAACTGTTTTGGAAGTGCGTGATGTGTGGTACATGGACGATGGTCCTCTTAGTAGAACTTTGTGCGAGGACTCGCAGGACTCGCTCGATTTGCAACCTAGTGTAGTCGATCCTTGCGAGGCGTGCGATGAAGCCAAATATGAGGTAAATTGGAATAAAATTACTTTTTTGACGATCCAAAAACAATAAAATAGATAGTCTTCTTAGAATCTTTGCTTCTATTTTTGTAGATGTTTTAGTTCAATATTTTGAATAACAATTGATTTTTACAAACTATGAATTGCTATTTTTTGTCATTTACAATTCCATAATCACAGTTTCTTATGCTAAAATACTAGAATGCTTGTCGGAAATAATTCATGATTTTTTGGCTAAAATATTTTAATATATTATAATACAATTCATAATTCGAATATGTTGAATTGCATGCATTAATATTGGAGAATAATTTTTTAAATTCTTGTGTTCGATTCATCAAATCAGGTCACCCTTGCAGTAATTTAGAATTGATTGGCGATGTTATAATGTATCATATAAATAAACGGTAGCATAATAATATACATTTGTCCAGTGCAATTATGGTTAAGCACAGCAAATGCAAATTAGTGGAATATCATACTGATTTTGCTTGAAGAGGATGTGAACTGTGTGGTCATTATTGGCACAAAATTGATTTTAATTGTGCAGTTGATTTAAATTGATTTTAATCTATTTGTTGAGAATGTATATATCTCAATTCTTCTATAAAATATTTATAATTTTTGTATATACATATTAGTAATGTGCTGCTGTACATAATTTTCAGTATTATGTCCTCCCTAAAATTATCTACTTTGCCAAGTTAGTATGTAGAGGCGTCTTATACGCTTTTGTTAAGGGTTATTCCCCGTTATGGTAACAGCTATAATATAATCATAATTATCAGGCTTAACGCGTACACCCGATCTGTATTATTATTTAATTAAGTAGTTTACTTCGTAAGCCGTAGGAGCAATTATCGCCATCTCCGAAATCAAGTTTTGAATTTAATACATAGTTATAGTTCGCATAAACTTATGTAATACTATAGCAAGAGTTATAGTCGGATAATGCAATATGCAGACAAGTTATTGATTAGCAAGCCATGTGCGGAGAGGAACTTAGTTCTTGTCAAAACTAATTTACCATCTGGTCGGCAGCTCTAAACTATTGTGATCCGATATTATTAACATGTACATCGTACGCACATCAAGTGCACGCAAAGTTATTAGGAAACTTATGATCTTTGATGAACTATGTAGTAAACTTTCATCTTAAAGTCATATATAGATATATTCGAATATTTGCATATATTGAGAACTAGAATAAACATTTTTATATTATACTTTAATTTTTGTATTCTGTTCTTTTGCAAGGTATATGAAAATAATTGAAATTTTCTGAACTTATGATAAATACAAAACCAAAAAATATTTTCCACGCATTCAATATCATGATAAATCTGGAGTTGAATTACGGAGGGTATTCCGGTCTAGAATTGCTAAAAAAACTATAGATTTTTTGATACTTTTAGAGTTTAGCTATTGAAGAATATGAGTACAATATAATTTTTTAAAATTTAAATTATTTTTGGTGATATAGCTCTTTGATCACGATAATCATGACCTAATCTGTTATTTTCTTCCTGTCTTTTCCGATACAATACCTACCCACGATTCATCAGTATGAAGTATGCTTTTTTTTCCAAATTTCCATATTTACTTATTCTAAAAAAATCGATAATATCAAAGAAAAAAAAAATTCATGCCGTCGCTGTATTGTACAAAAAATACAATTTGTCCGTAGTTCATATGAATATCACATCTAGATTATTACTCTATTATTTAATCAAATTATTTGGAGAATTAAAATTATGGGTATGGTCATGTGTTAATTTTTTGATGCCTTTCTCTTCATTATCTGCAAACATCAAATCTTTTTGAATGTTTTTAAATTTTTTCGCATTCTTAAAACATTAGTTAATATTTCATGTAAAAATTGATAGCACTAATGCTGTTTTCCTCATTTTACTGCGTTTGAAAGCTTGCATAAAATTCACGCCTAAAGACCAAAATACCCCCTTAAAATGAAAAATTTTCTGCAATTCTTATTACGCTATAATAAATTCTTATCATTTCAATTTATTCATATTTTTTTAGGTGACTTTTGAAGGGTTGTGGTCACGTCACACCCACCCTAAGGATTTTCCCAGCAACGGATGGCTGACGCGTTTTAGCGATGTCATCGGAGCAAGTCACACAGTGGATTACAGGTAAAAAACAGAATATTTTACATATTACAGGAATAATCCTGAGTGATATATGAATGAAAGGCGAAACGTGTCAAATAAACAAAAAAGGAATTATATTACACCGCAGAGGTATTGTGTCACGCGGGAAAAAGTAAATTGAAAATTCATGTTTGGGCGAGGACTTACATTTTTATATAACGATATTTAGGCTACTTAAGTACAAAAATTAACTCCATATATATGTATATATATATATATAAAAATTATTACCCCTTCAATACTTTACATTACATTTTCAGATATCCATTACCATAATACCCTTTCTACTACATTAAATAAACTTTGTTAATTATCCACTTCAACTTGATTTCATTTTCTTAGATATTTTATTACAAAATACTTTCAACTCATGAATATTGATGAGAGTATCATGAGAATATTAATAATTTCTTGGAAATGTATTGTAAATGTTTTAGAGTAATATAAATATTCTTATAAGAACTCCCGAGGCAATATTTCAAGTTGTGGTATGGTTATCCATCATCTTTATTAAAAACGCTACTTCGAACAATGAGAAAATAAATATGATGGAAAATATAACTTGGGGATAGTGGATATATTTTGATATTAGTTTGAAGTAGATTTATTAAATTATTTAAAATTTATTCATTAATCTTATACGCTTTATTTGTGGCTAATTCTCGGGGACTTCAAGATTATCAAGATTTAATTGTCTTAATGATATAAAATTTCAAGTTCATTTCATAATTTCTGCATCTTATGTGAAAGTTATTTACAAATCAGTTATTTATTTTTGTTTCACATTTACAAAACAAGAAACTTTACCTACATTTCCGTATAGTTTTATTTTGTCAAGTCTCTTGAATATGTGAGATAAATCTTTTAAGATAAAAGGGAAGTCGTGTTCCTATTTTCTGTTCTTTGTAGAAGGGACTCTAATTAGTTTTCATTCTTTCTGTCTTATGTCAGTCTTAGGCAAAGAAACATGTCACTTTTTATATGGTGAGTTAGTAAATTTGACTTCACTTTTTCGAAATTTCACTTTTACTTTCAAATTGCTCTTTGAAAACAAAATTTTGATATGATTTTTTTCATGTGGTTTTTATTATTATCGTGGTATATTACAAATAAATTCAAATAGTTTTTTAATAACAATTTTTTAAAAAAAATAAATTAAAATATTATTTCATTTTTTTACTCTCTAATTCATTAGACGTCACAGATACAGTAATAAATATAACAACTGTAAAAATAATAACTTATTTTTTTTATTGAATAATAATATTAATTTATAAGTATATTTATTCTACTTTTTGTGATATCTGTGTAAATATTATAAGTAGCAAAAATATTATTTACTCACATATCATCATTATTTATCATTTTTTAACACTATCGTGTTTTAACAAATATTGGGAGCCTAGTGAGAAAATATTATTCATAGAAAATATAGTCAATATATCAAAAAAAAAAATGTTTTAAAATTTATATGATAAGTTTGCATTTACCTACTACATTAAATGTTAAAATCAAACAATAATTTTTTTAATTGGGTATGCATTAAATTAAAATAATTAAATCCTCTAACAGACGATTGTTTCGGGTTGCAGCAAAAAGTATGATTATATCTAAATGTATATTTCAAATTTATTTTTTACGTAATTTGTGTAATTTATTTTTTCTCTTCGCTGATAGGAACAATAAATGTACCTCACTCATAATATTTTATAAATGCAATATAGATAGATAATCATTATTTATAAAATTATTAATATCTGATCTTATATGACACGTCTTTTTTTAGAAAAAAATAAATTTATTTATAATTTTTCGACGTTCCTTAGAACTGGTATAGCATGTACTTTGTTAAATCATTTGAGAGAATAAAATTTAAAGAATTAATGAAACACTTAAACTACTAAACATATTATATATTATATAATCGTTTTCTTTTGATTTTTTTTTTAATTTAGATTTTTCAAAATTCTTGAAAAAGTGAATATTCTTTGTGTATATATATACCTTAATATTGATTTTAAAACACTTGAAACGGGGTTTAAAATTAAAAACAAAACATGTTCACTTATATGTTTATTTTTTATATTTAGTTTATATGTAATGTATGTATGGTTTATTTTCTACATGTAATTATCAAAAAAGATGTTTTTTTCTGGTGTGATACTGTTAACAAAACATTGCTGAATGATGTCACACAATCCGTGTCGAAACGTATATTGTATTTATTTGTTTTCTTTTATTTCGAAAATTAATATTCAACATATGTCTCAACGTTGAACAAAGAAATTTAATTGTGTGTATATATGTGTATATATATATATATATATGTGTGTGTGTGTGTATGCGTATGTATATATATATATATATATATATATATATATATATATATATATATATACACACTCCACTCTTCACTCTGCATTTACAATGAACACTTACGTATCAAAGGCGTTATATACCCAGTAAACCTATTTAGCGTATATTTACAATCAATTACAAAATAATTGCGAGTGCCTAAATCCTAATCAATGTTGTGACCACTCTACTCTGCATTAAATACATCGACCAACTAAATTCCTTCTGTCCTTCATCAAAATTAACTATTCGATAGTACATTGAATTAGCAATTTAATCAAACGCGTTCTAATCATCGACAAAGCTGCCGCAGACCGCGTTATAGGCATCACTTGATTCGGACCGTCGGTTTTCATTCCGTTGTTGTGTACCTGGTCGATTCGATATTCAAATTTCAAATTCGAATGCATATCCCTGCCAGAATCAATGAATGGAATGAGATATATGCGGAAATTCTGGGCACATACATCATAAGAGTGCTTTGTTTCCCTGTTTAGTTATGGATTCGCATAGCAAAGAATTTGCAACTGCAATTTATTTCATATTTAATAGCATTATAATTGTATTGAGGGAAATACAGGTTCTGATTGAAATATTTTTTTTATATTTATTCAACTGAAATAGGTTCTTAATTAATTCTTTCATCTGTTATGCTGACTACTTAACGTGTTTTTTTCATGAAGGGTTGTCCTGTCTCTATGTGATTAAGGGGGTATTCTAGTGTAGAAATTCAAAAAAATCGTTTTTTTTATTTCACATTTTAAAAGTTTAACTAATTAAGAATATGGGTACGAGAAGGTTTTTGAAAATTTGAATTATTTTCGGAGATATAGGCATTTTACTGACTCGGTCTCCATACTGGTTTGGCTTCACGCAAAACTTTAAATGCGTTTTTCTCAGAACAGACTTTTTCAGTACTGTTGACACGATTTCTCGAGTTTTGATCAACCGATTTGAAATGTTCAGAGAGTCTAGTTTATAGACCTATTTTTAGCCTGAACTAGCATCATTCCCAAATTTTAATTTTTACTATTTTTAAAAAATTCGAGAAACTCAAAAAAACAGTAAAAAACACTTTTTTTTCAAACAGTCGCCGATTTGTAAAAAAAACATTTTTTTACTCATCGCTAGTTTGGGCGATTGTGACATCATTGTAGATTAATAATCTTTCATTGCTTTCTTTTACGACACTTTAAAAATGATCAAAATTCATCGCTCTACACCAGAATACCCCCTTAATATATACTTATCTTTTTTATGAAGGTAGGAATACCTAGGATAATCTTTTATATAGCCAATATCACTACTGCTTGATACCAGGTTGTCCGAAGTGGGTATCGAGCCTCAATCCCATCCTATACACTTTCTATGTAATGAGATTTATATAACAATTTTGATAATGCTGATTTTTTTATTAATGAAAGGTTCTTAAATCTATATCGGCTAAGGGTTTTTTTGGTTCATAGCTATCGATATTTACAGATTAAAACAGATGTCATTTTTGCTTGATATCAGGCTGTCCGAAGCAAGTATTGAACCTGGACACCACAGTTCGAAATTCATAGGTCTAAATATTATTACACTAGATAATAAAAATTGCATTCTTCATTCTCAAACTATTATAAAAGATACAAACTAATTTCCCCAAGTTTTCGTACACTGTTATATTATAATGCTTAATTAAAAGTTATATCAAACAACCTGAAAGTTTAACTAGCGCTTCTAATTAACTGAGACAAAGAATTCTTTTATACAAATTTACTTTATTCTTGCAAATACAGGTGATTTGTTTTTCTGCCACATTCAAGAGACTAGAATAAAACATTGTTTTTTTGTTTCTGTAAATATTACATCATTTGAATTTATAAAATATAATTTTAAAAGTAAATTGTAAATTATTAAATAAAAATCTTGAAATTCACAATACAGTCTTATCATGCGTTTGTTTAAAGTAACAGGGTAGGCCATTTAAATAGGAAGCATTTTTTTCTGAAAAAAAACATTTTGAATAAACATTATATTTATATTTTGGTTCAAGAAGATACGTGCACCTATTTTAAATATTTAAATTATAATATATATATTTTTTCCGAGATAAAAATGTCCACTGTTAATGGTTTGCCATATACATTTTTTAAAAACGGTTTTTTTCTAATGTGTTTAAATTGGGAATATCTCATTTGACGAAATTTTGTCATTATAGTTTAACAACAAACTTAATATCATATATACAAATTTTCTGCTTATTTATTGAAAAAAAATTGTTGATGATTCATAAATGTACAGAATTGACCAAAAATTCAGTCATTCAAAAATTATTATATTTTTTAAATAAAATTAATTCTTTAACGTATCGCCTTATAAAATATAGAAAAAGAGCTTATTAAATCAATTTTCACATTAAAATAAAAATGTATTTTTTTACCCTCATGAAAATAATTTCAATAACTAATTTTGAATTTTTTATTTGATATTTATATTCAAAAGAATAGTTATTCTGATAAAATATATAATGCAATTAGTAATTGAGATTGTCATTTATCATAAAACTTTTTAGTACAAATTTGCCTGTTTAAATTTATTAATTTATTTATGTCCGTAACTGAACAGGCGTAAATAAAAAAGAGAATAAATAAAATTAACATTTTCTCAGTGAAACTCATCCATACTGCAACTAGTCTGTGATATGTTTGTTGCTTTGACAAAAATACCTTTGCAATATTCAAATTCAAATACTGTGCATGCACATCTCCTTTGTAGAGCTCATAAATAATATCAAACATGTGCATATATTCTGTGCAGGTTCTGGGAATATGGCCAACCGGCCAGCGAGGGATTACGCCAGGTTGCAGAACATGGTGCAACCAGGATGTTGGAGAGCGAGCTTAAGGCCGAGGTATGGAAATTGTAATATATCACCCCGAAATTAAATTATCAGTTTTGTAGTTAATCCAATTTATTTGGTATGTTTTACACGTTCTGTTATTTGTTTTCGGAATAACTACATTACTTTGACAAATTTTTAGTATTGGGTTTGACAAAAAATCGATATTTCAGATGGATACGATTTGACAGAAAATATTTATACAGACATTCATAGCATCGTGTCAGGAAAGTAGGTTACACTTCCAAACGTGACAGATTCAATAGCCCGTAAATGCATTTATATTTATTTATGCTTTGCGAATTGAACCGTCTATGAAATGAATAAATTCTGCAGGTATTGAACTATGTACTAAAATATCATTTGTGCAGTCAATTTTAGAAGACACAATATAATATTAAGAATTAGTAATTTTATAAATGACGTATAAAATCTATGGCTTGCTGAATAAAAATGCAATATTCGTGATGAAAATGCTGAACCATTATCTAATAAGAGATATGCAACCTGTTCCAAAAATTTGATCGACGTTTGCACTGATTTATTATATGTTTTCAAAAAATTAGAAAAACTAGTGAATCCATCTATTTAAATTTTTGAGGGTATATTTATACATGTTTTGAGAATACACAGTAAAATTATTGAAATAAAATATTAAATACTTTTGAAATGACACGGAATCTCCGGCGGCCCCCCAAAAAAAGATCCTTTACTGCTGGAGTGATTGCAGCTTTCTCCGTTGATAAAATATAAAAACAAAAAAATTCTCGTTAAACTAGAACATATTTGTGTATACGATGACCTTCGGACGAACAAAAAAATCAAAAATTGACAAAATGGCGGCATGTTGAAAAAAAAGTTAAATTTTTCCCAAAATCTTGGTTGTTTTTGGCCTGCCAAAATTCGATTTTTGATCAGATCAAAAAGTTGGAGGATCATCTTATGGAAAACTATATAGAGGAGATGCAAAAATAATATTGATAGCAATCGGATCATTTGTCTCCGAGTAATCACTCTAGCAAATTCGCAAAATACTGTTTCGAGAAAAACGCGTTTCAAAATAAAATGATCGTTATATTATATACTATATATACTTTTTTAAATGACAAACTCAAAAACTATTTAAAATATCGCTTTAAAATTTTAGTATGTTATTTTTAAAGGTATAACCTATCAAAATATGGAAAAATTCAAAATTCAATTTTTTGAAAACTTCACACTAGGTGTACCCATTGAAAAGATTTTTACATTAAAAATCTATTCAATAAGTGACAAAAATATTTGTCCATACGGATTACCACCGTATACTATTTATATTACGGGTCGGCTAGATGAGTTCGCTGGTAGCAAAAAGGATTCATTTACAATGGAAGTAGTTTTTAATAAAATGCAAATCCATTTCTTATTGCATGAATAAATAATGTAAGACGAAATGCATTGTCTGTTGCCATTATTACATTTGCATGTCAATCCCCTAAAGTAAGGATGGATGCTGCGAACGAGATAACATCTGTAACAACTTGCTCCGAGAAAAGAGTAAATCTTTCGCTTTTAACAGGAAATGAAATTCGAAACATAACTTTAAGCGAAGGAGCTAATAATAAATTCACAAGCGTACAAATACAAATATATATTTTCATATACATTCAGACTGTTTAAGGGTGAATTCTGATGGATTAGATCAATTTATCCTGTATCTTTCACAAACCGTTTATAGTTTTCAATACCGTAAACATTTCCAAAACCTTTCAATAAACATCTAATAATATAGAAGAGTAAATAACCTTTTGCGATAGTTTACAATAATCCTACAAGGTTTCAAAGAGTGCCACGAATTTTCTTATCTAACTATAAGGGTCTTTGCATGTACAAAATTGGTGACCCATATCTTTTCATTATTTTATTTTAGATAATATTTTTGTCGAGTCAACATATTTTTAAATGATGGAATTTCAATGTATATGATCAATATATATTATTAACATACAATTTCATCATCACCACTCCTTTTATTTACCTCTGACTATTTTACCTCCTCTGACTATTTACCCTATGCGACACATAAATTTCGTTTGAACCCATATCCGATTTATTATTTATTCATTAAATTCCATTCGTTTGTAAATAATAAATTAATGCATACTACCATTATTGATTTCTGGGCGTCAGTATATTTGCATTTTGTTTTACAATTGCCATTTCAGATTAAAGTATCGACTAATTTACTCGCTCTATAAATACGACTCGTTGGTTTGCAAACGGGATATTACAAATTAAATTATTTAAACAAAAATGTTAATTTTATATATAAAACCAGTTATTTGTGAAATGAATTTGTAAAATGAATGAAACTATGCAAAAATTTTATTTTCATTTCCTAACCATTATGGCGTAAATTGCAATCAAATTGTTTAATGTGATTAATAATCAAATTAAATGTTTCAAATATTATATCAGCTTTAATTACATGAATACTTGTTTTATATCGAATGGAAAAATATTGTTTTAAAAATCATAATAACTCTGATAATTATTATTATCAAATAGAGATTAAGTAACTTACTTAGATTTTGTATTGCATTTTTTTATTTTCAATAAAATTCAGACACAAAAAATCATTAATATTTCAATTAAGTGTTAGACTAATTTATCGAAGAAAAACAATCGCACAAACAATTCACACAAGCAACTATGCTAAGAAATAATATTCATTGATACTTATTATTTTTATCAAGTGGGGACAACCTAACTTATTTACATTTTGAGAAATATTAAGAGAATCAGATAGTTATCACAGTTTAAAAAATATTATATCTATTTGAATTATACATGAATTTTATACCGATAAAAAATATTAAACAAAAGCAAATAATCAAAATTACTCAAAACTAATTTTTTATTGATTACTACTTTCATTTTTATTAAATACAGAAAAATTAACTTATTTTTGTTTTATAATTTTATTATTAGATATGATTTTAAATTTAAGAGATAAAAAATTATTATTTATCGTAAGTAATAATAATATTAATATTAAATCAAACAATTAAAATGAAATCTAAAATTCCTAACTGTTTGGTCTTACAAATCAGTAGAAAATCATTAACATAACTTTATTTGGAGATAATTATTTTGCAAATAAACTGAAATTAAGGAAAAAATAGTCATTGGTATATAAAACATTTTCCAAGTTACCCTCATATAATTATTTGTACAGTTATTTAATTGTTAATTATGCTGACAGATTATTTATAGCAGATTAATAAAACAGAAGCTCGATAAAACGCCAATTAAATGTTTAAAAATATTTGTATTTCTATTTTAATCCAATATGGTGACCTACTTGTTTTTGAGTAATATTTTGAAAATAGAATCAATTTGATATATTTTAGCAGTCATTAATTAATGAATATTATTTTTGAGCATTTGTGCTTGTATGCATTTTTGTGCAAAATTTATCCTCCGAAAAACAAAGTTAAATACTTAATTGGAATATTGATGATTTTTTTTATCTCTGAATATCAAATATGAAATGTATGTGTGTTACTTTGTCTATTGATAATAATAAGTATTAATTATTGGATTTTTTTTCTTATATAAAGTATAACAAATTAACTCTCTAAATATCTATTCTCTCTTAAATTCGCCAATTTTACTTATGTCCTCTAACTTTAACTTAATTAATAATGAAAACATATTCACAACACTTTACCTAATCAAATAATCTCCATCTGCACAAGTTAATCTTTTTATTTTCTTTTCAAATATCTCATTATTTTATCTTATTATGTTTATAAATAATGTTGTTACATTTTGCATTATATATAGTTTTATGTTAAGCATTTTATGTTAATAACTATACATTGTAATTTTGTATATATTTTAATTGTTATTCATTATGTAAAATAATTGTATTTTTGAGTCGTCTTAGAGGAAATCTGTGGGCTATATATTTAAAATAAATAAATAAATAATATTTATATAAATATAAAACAAGTATTCATGTACTAAAGCACATATAATACTAGGAATATTTAATTTAATTATTTATCACATGGAACGATTTAATTGCAGTTAACGCAATAATGGTTAGAAAACACAAATAAAAATTCCCCATAGCTTTCACAAATAAAAATTCGACATAGCTTTTTTTTATTATTTTAATAATTTTTACAACTGTCTTGAAACGGACAACAAATAAAATATTTGACATGAAACTGAAGGCGTTGGCAAAATACAAATCATCTGATCATTGCCAGTGATTTGTCGAAGGTCTTATCTATTGTTGATTAGTGCAGAAGAAATTTTCTTTTTAATCGGGCCCTGGTAGAGTTAAAATAATTTCAAACATATTTTTCTTGTACTCTTGAAAAAATTGATAATCCTATTAATGTAATTGATATTATTCGATTTAAATATATATATATATATATATATATAATAATAATATCAGTAACTAATTAATTTCAATGCATTTTACGAAAAAAATCAATAAAATTTCTTCACATTGTGGGAGTAGTAATGTATATTAAAGTATAAACTCCCATCTTATAAAAATGTATAAAATTTATTCATTAGAAAATAGTACTGATATGAAAAATATAAAATGACAAGTCCCATTGTTTTTCTACAAACACTAGCCTGCTTGATTTCCCCACAACATTGTACCTATTATTTCATTTATTACTCAGCATACCGTATTTTGCATCCCCCAAACAAATCTCTATTACCATTATTTTATTATTATTTTCAGAGCGAACACATTCGTACGATCATCAAAGCCCGAGGCATCAGTTACCCCAACGTAACCGGCAAGACCTTCGCCGTGTTCCGTGTCGACAAGCGGCATCATCTGGTGTCGCTGGTCTCTATGATTTTCCCGTCTCCCGACTGGATCGTCGGCGTCTCCGGGCTTGAGCTGTGCGCCCGCAACGGCTCCTGGATAGAGTCGCGCGTGCTGAACCTCTACCCGTGGGACGCGGGCACGGACAGCGGACCCTCTTACATAGTAAGTTGAATTAGACATGGAAACGAGACTCTGAATTAATATGAATAATACACTAGTGGTGTATGGCATCGTGGGTTAATGCAACTTGCTGGAACTTTCCGTACCAGAATTATATATTTGAGAAAAAAATCAGTAATCAATAAAAATTGGTCAATGGTTTACAACAATTGTTTTATACATTTTCAAATAGATAATTATAATCACTATAAATTTTATCGTTCATAAAATATACAGTTAGGATCTTATTGCTCGAAACACTTGAGAAAATTTACATTAGCAAAAGGTGAATGAATCAATCCGTCTGAGGTTATATTTCTTACGATTAGAATAACGCATTTGAAATATATTTATTTTCAAACTGAATTGTAAATTTAAAATTCATGTTTGAAGTATAAAACTTTGTATATATTTGAAAATTTTGAAAATTTTTTTTCGGAAAAATTTGAAATTTGCTTGAAGCGTATAAGTGAACTTTAAAAATTGACAATCTTGGTACGGAACCCAACAAAATTGTAACAAAATTAGTACACATCAGATCATTTTTGACGGCAAAATATCATTTTTTTTTACTTTTTTCTCTGCATCTCCGAAACCGCTAGACCTGCCTTACCAAAAATTTCATCAATTATTCATTTCGTCATTACAAGTAAAATGTTTTCTGAATCATTCAAATACGGTACGTACTCCGTTCTTTGAAAAACTGAATTACGATTTTTGGCACTTTTGCCTCATATCTTCGAAACGGCTGGGCCTAACTTTACCAAAAACTATTAGGCACGTCTACCCATCAGTAGGAATCGAATGTTTTGTGAAAACATACACACACGTACACACACATACATGCATTTTTGGGGGGTATAACAAAATGTTCAGTAACCTCTGAAATGTAAAGATATATAAAAATTTTCATTTTAGATTTTTTTGCGATTACTATAACTTACCCTGCAGGAAGCTAATAAACAAGTGGTGTATGGCATCGTGCTTTAAGGCAAATTGCTGGAACTTCTCGTATTCCGTCCGTTAAGAACGCTTTTTTGAAAACTGAAAAAAAGATTTTTGAAAATTTTGAAATTTTTGAAAAAAAAAATTTTTTTGAAAAATATTAATTTTTTTTTTAACCCATGCAATTAATTCTAGATGAAATATCTGATGATTTGTTTCACTTTTAATATTTAAATTTTGTAGAAAGGAACACGTGAATTGTCCTTTAAACTTTTAGTTCGTTTTCAAAGTTATTTACGCTAATATTCACATAATATTTGAAGAAACAAGCACGAGTGTGATTAATTTTAGTGCGTTTTCAAAGTTTTTTATCGAAGTTTTTTACGTTGATATTTAAATTTCGGATTATTAAATCTCCGAAACAGCTAGACTTGCCTTCCCATAAATTTAATCAGTTCCTCATTTTGCCAACACAAATAGAATGTTTTTTGAATCATTAAAATCGTACGCTTTGTTAACTTAGATTTTGCCCAAAACTAAAGGAATTTTTAGATTGATCGGAGACCAAAAAATTGTTTGCACTTTTTTGCTAATTATAAAGAAGCGCCCTTGGCTGATTGTTTCTTAAAAATAATTAAAGCGAGAGACTTTTAAAAGCTCGACATAGGCCAGCAGTTTTTGAGAAAACACGAAAAGTAAAAAAATGATTTACATACATACCCATTTATACACGCGTACGCATTTTCTAATTTTGGTGTCAAAGGATTCAGAATTATTTGAAACACTGAAAAACATAGAACTCTTGCTCTCCCTTTGGAAGCTAACTAATGGATATAGGATTTTGAGTTTTATAATATATCGACGGTGATTACGATATAAAATTTTTACTCACTATATTATAGTCTTTTAAATAATTAATTAAAATATAGTATGCATTATTCATACAACTATAATTGACTTTTTCCATAAATTCGGTGTTGTTAATTATATATTCAGATATAAAATACGGTATCAGGCTAACAATGTGTGGGTATATTTTTACTCTTTGTTATACTCTGTTTTAAGGAAATGTTTTGTTTTAATTTAATACGTTTAATTTCAAGCATTTCTATAGACCGTATTGTGTTATTCATGTTCCGCAAACATGTTTTTTATATAAACCTTTATTATGAACTGATCTTTTTGATAAAGATTTTTAATTAAAGTTACTCTGGAAAGATTTGTTCCTCAATAACACACACAAGTGTACTTTTTCACATGATTCACTTTATTATGTCATTTTCCCAGGAGCATTCCTTTCGCTTCAATTACTCCGATTGAACCTATCAGAGGTATCCTATTTCATCTTTCTACGGAATCTTTTATCAATAATGTTGCAATATCTAAAGTACATGCTTGCTTGTGCACTGTGCACAATTTCCAATATTTCTTCGTATTCTATTGCAATTTCTCATTTCGAGTCATAAATAATTTATTGGAAATGCATTGTACTTACCTTCTTGGAGACATATAGAAACTCAGAGAGTACGTTGAAAGGATTCCATGGTAATAAAACATATCCATATTTTCTAGTATACGAGCAATATTAGTATTTATTTGATTTTTGAATTTTTCATTCTCAATATCAAACTAGTGCCTTAAGGCAAATTGCTGGAACTTCCCGTACCGTAACGGAATGTTCGAGGAATACTGAATGTTTTCAAATAGATTATTAATAATATTGTAACATTGTCTAATATTTATATATATTAAATATAAACTGAATTGCAAAGTTGAAATTATTTGTTTATTGTATATTAGAACTATAGTCAGAATTAAAAATAAAATCTGAATTATTTCCGATATATAAAAAAATTTTTTTCTGAAAAAAAAGTTGAAACAAAATTTTTTTTTCCAGAATCAATTATTTTGTTAGGACAAGCAGAAAGTTCTTTGAATCAATTAAATCGGACGCTTAGTTCTCTAAAAAACTGCAATTTTTTACACATTTAGCTCCGTATCTTCGAAATGGCTGGGCCTGCCTTTGCCAAAAACTAATAAACACTTTTTCCAATCATTAATAATTGAATGTTTTTTAGATCATGCAAATCGGATGCTCCGTTCTCTCAAAAACTCGATTTCTATTTTCTGCACTTTTTGCTCTTTATCTCCGTAACCGCCAGACCTGCCTTTGCCAAAAAATAATCAGCTCATTTCCCTATCAATAGGAATCGAATGTTTTTTGAACCATTTAAATCGGTTGATTCGTGCGCCCGAAAACGTGACTGGAAATTTGTATCCATTTTTTATAAGGTATGCCAAAATATTCAGAAACCTCTGAAAGGTAAAGATATATAAAAAATTTCATTTTCGATTTTTTTGCGATTACTATAACTTACCCTATGGGAAGTTAACAAATGTCCGAATCAGAATTAATAATATCATTTAATATGAACAAGCCAATAATCATAAGATAAATCAATTTATTAAAATTTAAAATTTATTCTAATTTTTAAGGAATAAATGTGCAACCCGCAATTTTTTTATGACATATAATATTATATATTTATAATAAATAAATATGTTTCCATTCCAACGTTATCAGAAAATATATAATGCAACTTCTATTTTATGAGCAATAACTCTGTACTATAAAATAGATTGAAAAATTTAAAATGAATGATTTTATTTGAATTCTCCAACGAGCTTTAAAAATATATATTAGACTTTAGATTAATGTTCATATATATATATATATATATATATATATATATATATATATATATATATAACTCTTTTCTCTACGTCGTAGGAAATTCAATTGCGTTCACATAAGTTTGAAATGTATAATTTATATAAAGTTAGCAGAGCTTTTGTGCGACTTTATTGATACTACAAAGCTTGATATAAAATTACGAGCTTTTTGTTATTTTAGTTTCAGAAATAATTACATTGAAATGTACTACAATGCATGTTGCATGCTTCATTTACTACTTTTTCAGCATTTTGTATGCAAAATACGTTTTGCATTTATACAATGATATGTAAATGAATTATTTTATCTATGTATGTAAGTAGTAACATCAAAGCACAAAATTTAATATAGAGTACAATAATGTTGCACTTAAATTGAAATGCGTTTATTATTTTGATTAAAGTTTTTGTTTGTGTATTGAGTTTAATTTTACTCTCATAGTTGGTTTAAAATTTTAATATATAAATAAAGTTCGATAACAAAGTGCATAGCATAGTGTATGGCTACGTAGTAGTAATTTATGATTCGATCTGGTGAAAATTGTTATTTTTTCTCTGGGAAATATAGCTATTCGGGTTTGTTGTCTCTTCCTGGGTTGTATAAGGCAGCTAATTTATTTAATAGAAAAAAATTACATTGCAGTTTCTTCATTTCTTGGCACCCCTTCATCCAGAAAGCAATTAAGGTTTACGTTTCATGAACTATAGTGCATTCAATACATCTTTAATACCTGTAATGGAAAAGGAAACCCAAGTAGACTTCTCTTAAAGGAAAATGCGTCTATTAGACATGAAGCTGGTCTAAAATTTACCCACTTTTAAAAAACTAAATAAAGTAGAAGTTTGAAATCGTAATCATTTTTTATCAAATTCTATTAAAATCGATAGCTATTCTGAGAATCGGTTTTTAGAATCTAGGTTATAATATTTTTGAAGTATGTATTTTTAAACAGAAAGTTTAAGAATAGTTCAAAAAGCATGTGGCAATTTGTATTAATTTATTAAATAAGATTATTGGCAATTAGTAGCACATTTTTCATTAATTCAATGATCCAAGAATTCAATTGATTTAATTTTTTATCCTTTATTTTCGTATTTTAGTATTTAGTGTAATTAGTAATTTGATTGTTAGCTAATTCAGGACATTTGTATGCATTTCTTCAAACTACTTACAATTTTCATTCCGGACCTTAAAATTTCTTTACATAAATGAAAACTAGATTTTATTATAATCTGGTATAAACTGTTATATACACTTCGATAATAAAATTTTGCATAATTCGTAGTTGAAACGCGGACTTTAGTAATTTGATAATTGCATTAAA